TGCTAAATGCCTGCTATGTATGTGCAGGCCTAGTGCTGGGTGCTATAGATGGTGCTGTGGCAGAGTGAAAAAATGGCTTCTCTCTACCTTTCTAGATTCTATGGCTGGGCTACAAATTAAATTGACATAAGACAGATTAGCAGGAGAAAAACCATTGTAATTACAGTCATGCTTTGCTTAGCAACAGGGATATGTTCTGAGAAATGCATCATTAGGTGATTTTATCGTTGTGCAAACATCATAGAGTGTACTTACACAAACTTAGATGGTGTAGCCTACTACACACCCAGGCTCTCTGGTATAGTCTATTGCTCCTAGGCCACAAACCTGTACAGCAGGTTGCTCTCCTGAATACTGTCACCAAATATCATTCAATGATATTTGTGTATCTAAACATATCTAAACAGAAGAAGTACCCTAAATAGACGGTATAAGAGATTTAAGTGGGGTGCAGTTGCTCACACCTGTAATCCCAGAACTTTGGGAGGCTGAGGTGGGTGGATCACTTGAGGCCAGGAGTTCGAGACTAGCCTGGCCAACATGGTGAAACCCTGTCTCTACTAAAAATACAAGAATTAGCTGCACGTGGTGGCACACACCTGTAATCCCAGCGACTGGGGAGGTTGAAGCGGGAGAATTGCTTGAACCCACGAGGCGGAGGTTGCAGGGAGCCGAGATCACACCACTGCACTCCAGCCTGGGTGACAAAGGGAGACCCTGTCTCAAAAAAAAAAAAAAGGAGATTTAAAATGGTACACCCGTATAGGGCACTCACCATGAGTGGAAGTTGCAGAACTGGAAGTTGCTCTGGACAAGTTAGTGAGTGAGTGGTGAGTGAACGTGAAGGCCTAGGACATTACCATTTTTTGTTTATGTTTTTGTTTTTTGAGACAGAGTCTCTCTCTGTCACTCAGGCTGGAGTGCAGTGGTGAAATCACAACTCACTGCAGCCTTGGCCTCCTGGGCTCAAGTAATCCTTCCTAGTAGCCTCCTGACTAGCTGGGACTACAGGCGTGTGCCACCATGCCCAGCTAACTTAAAAAATTTTTTTTCGTGTAGAGACAGGGTCTCACTATGTTGTCCAGGCTGGCCTTGAACTCCTGGGCTCAAGTAATCCTCCTGCATGAGCCTCCAAAGTGCTAGGATTACAGGCATGAGCCACCATATCTAGCCTAGGACATTACTATACATATATATATGACTGGCAGCACGGTAGGTCTGTTTACACCAGCATCACCACAAACATGTGAGTGACGTGTTGTACTAAGATGTTAGGGTGGCTACAACATTACTAGGTGATAGGAATATTTTAGGTCTCTTATAATCTTATGGCACCACCATTGTATATGTGATTTGTTGTTGACCAAAACATTGTTATGAGGCTCATGACTGTATGTGCATATACACAGGAGTCCTATAACACATGAGACTCAAAGAAAGGTCAGATGATTGACGTTTATATAGCATCCCCAGCTACAGAAAGGAATAGAGGTTGGGGCATCTCAGGGGTGGTGTTGATCCAAGTTATTGGAGGGTGAGGGGAGCAAGTGCATGGTGAACAGAGGTTGTCTGGCTAGGACAAACAAAAGTTATCTCAGAGCAGCCCTCTTCCTGATACAGATACTTTACTAATGTAGATTTCCTTTACAGATATAAATTTCTTTTATGAAAGGACAACTTTTCAGAGCTACTCCTGTGTCTGCAGTTTCTCAGAATAACGTGCTCAAAATATGCCAAAGAAGTATATTTTGAGGTGGCATATTACAGTTTCCTACAGTCATATTTTGGGGTGGTGTGTCCTGAGTCCCATGCCCAAGGCAGGCTAACCCAGTTGTCCGCAGCTTCTGCAGACAGCTGGGCCTTTGAGATGCTACCACAGCCTGGTCAGGGCCAAACATGCAGCTCAGTTTGTCCTTCACTCAGTAGGCTTCCCTTAAGAAGGGAGGATGATTTAGGGAGAGGGCAGGGACTGAAACTGTTCTCACCAAGGCTCCAATGACCTCCCAATTATCCAGCAACCATTTCTGAATCATTTTCTTGTTTGATTCCTTTCTGTATCCACCACATCCTTGCACTCTTTTTTTCACCTGGCTTCCATAACGTTCTGTCTCCTGGCTCTCTCTTTCCTTCTCTGAAAATTCCATTTGCATCTCCTTTGCTGGGCCCTCTGTCTGCCTCTTAAATGCTAGTGTCCCCCAACGTGCTGCCCTTTGCTATTTTCTCTTCTTACTTTATATACTCTTCTAAGAACATTTCACTGACTCCTGTGATTTTAACACCACTGATGGACTGATAATTTCTAAATGTATACCTGTAGATGTAACCTGTCCAAGTGAAACTCACATTTCCCTAACTGTACCCTTCCCGTGTTCTCAGTGTTAATAGTAGACCAACAACCCAGTCTCTAAACCAGAAACCTAGGAGCCGTTCATTCTTGACTCCTTCTCTGGCTCTCAATCCCAGCCTGTTGATTCTACCTTTGAAATCCTCCTCTAGTATACCCTTTGTACTGCAGTCTCATGCCTTGGAGGTGGTATAGTATATAGTGGTTAAAAACTCAAGCTTGGGGCCAGGCGTGGTGGCTCATGCCTGTAACCCCAGCACTTTGGGAGGCTGAGGCAGGCGGATCACCCGAGGTCAGGAGTTTGAGACCAGCCTGGCCAACATGGTGAAACCCCGTCTCTACTAGAAATACAAAAAAATTAGCCAGGCATGGTAGTGGGCACCTGTAATCGCAGCTACTTGGGAGGCTGAGGTAGGAGAATTGCTTGAACTCAGGAGGTGGAGGTTTCAGTGAGCCGAAATCGTGCAATGCACTCCAGCCTGAGTAACGGATTGAGACTTTGTCTCAGAAAACAACAACAACAACAACAACAAAAACTCAAGCTTGGAGTGCAACTATCTGCATTTAGCTCTAGTCTCTACCCATTATTAGCTGTGTGACCTTTCTAAGCCTCAGTTTCTAATCTGTACTGTAAAGATTAAATAAGACAGTTCTTGTAAGATGATGCTAAATATAGTACCTATCATATAGTAAACACTATATGTTTGTTGGTCCATAACTCTGGTGTGGAGGAAATTCATCTCTACTCAACTTCTGTTTCAAGCCCTGATTCCACTGGGATGATGGGAACAATGTGAATCAGTTTGGGGATTTGCCCCCTCCTTTTCCCCACGGTGGAGTCTAAGTAGGGGGAGGTATATGATGCCAAGGTGAGGCTCATCTGGTCCTCAGCCATCTATTCACAAAGGTGTCCACTGACACCTTCTTTCTTCTCATCTACCTGGCCCTTTCAAGCCCAGGGACCAAGCAGAAGAGGGGAGTCATTCATTCAGATACTTCCTTTCTGGCTAGGTCAGGAGTTTCTGCAAAGTTGTCTATTGTCTGCCTGGCTTATTATACAACTGTTCTTTCTCAGGGTCCTGTACACCTAGGGTCCTTTCCAGGAAGCAAAGAATGGGACCCCAGGTGCCCTGAGCCACCAACATCTAGATTCTATTTCCCCCAGCTGGTGAGAGGTAAGGGAAATCCCTCAGATCTTCAAGGGGGCATCCGCTCTCTTCAAATCATACTTTTCCCAGTTTTGTCTCAGCCCTTGAGTCTCCTCTGTTCCTCTGAAGGCTTTAGGTATGGATTTCTGTTTTCTGTTCTTTCACATTCTCCTCTCCTACCTGCCCAAGCTATAAGCCTAGGCTGCTTGGTTGCTTGGATGGAGTGTGGGGAAAGGGTAAAAGGAGAAACACAAGATGGGGAAACCTATCAGATAATATTTTTTCAGCATAGTTGTTGGTGTCATAATTATTTTTTATTAGTTCAGGCTCTTTTTTTTTTTTTTTTTTTTGAGATGGAGTCTTACTCTTGTCGTCCAGGCTGGAGTGCAATGGCACAGTCTCAGCTCACTGCAACCTCTGCCTCCCAGGTTCAAGCAATTCTCCTGCCTCAGTCTCCTGAGTAGCTGGGATTACAGGCATACACCACCATGCCCAGCTAATATTTGTATTTTTACTGGAGATGGGTTTTTGCCATGTTGGCTTGCCTGGTCTGGAACTCCTGACCTCAGGTAATCCACCCGCCTTGGCCTCCCAAAGTGCTGGGATTACAGGTGTAAGCCACCACGCCCAGCCTAGTTCAGGTTCTTATTATCTCTCTTCTGTGCTACTGCAGTAGCCTTCCAGCTGGTCTTTGTCCCTAGTCTCACCCCCTTCCAATCCCCTGCTATAAGATGGCTCTTTTTAAAAGACAAATCTGGCTCTGACCTATGTCTAAAGTGTTCCTTGGCTGGTGACTGTTCACCAGACCCCATGCCAGGGCCCTAGCATGGTGCCCAAGGTGCTACTGGACCTCACCCTGTGCCTCCAGGATCCCTTCTGGCCTCTCCCTGGCTGAGCTTTGTTCTCCTCTAAAACTGAACCAAGTATAAGTTCCCGAACTCACCTTCTTGTTCTTGCACATGCTGTTTCCACTGACTGCACTGCCTGTCTTCTTCAATCTGATGAATTCTCTTTCATTTCTAAACCCAAATCAGCTGTCACCTCCACTAGGACGTCTTCCCTGTCATTCGCTGCTCTTAATCACAGCAATGACTCCCTCCCTCTGTGCATCACAGACCTCTAATTTATTTGACTGTATGTCTATCACTCGTGTCAGAACAGCAAACTTTTTTAGAGCATTCACTGTGCTTATACATCTCTGCATTCGCATCACTTAGCTTAGCGCGTAGCGCCAAGTAGGCCCACAAGTTAGCCAGACTTGGGAACACATAGGAAGCAGAGTAGGGGTTAATGGGAATACTAGTTGGAGACAAAGGCAGGGACAGCAGCTAGAATAAGGCTGTTTAGCAGAAAAGGAGCCTGGGAGGAACAAGGCGAGGAACTGCTGTAAGGGGAACGGTACTGCCCTGGCCTGGTGCGCCTCTTCTCCCAGCACGTGGGCGGCCCCGCTCCGCGGCCTGGAACTACAAATCCCAGGATTCTCAGCGGTGTGAACAGGAAGTGTCCTGTCCGGCCGTGGCGACGGTGAGGGGCGGCGGCCCAACGGCGGGAGATTCAAACCTGGAAAAAGGAGGAACATGGAGAGGAGAGCAGCGGGCCCAGGCCGGGCAGCGTGTGAGTGCGGGAAGGGTCTGGGAAGGTCTCGCAGTGGTGCCGCTGGTCGGGGGCTTGGCTGTCCTAGGAGAGATTGGGGCGTGTGTCGGGCGTGGAGCCTGAGGGGCGAGGGCGGTGGGACTGCTCAGTGGGACGGGAGTCCTCAGCCCGGGCGCCGCGGGCCTGAGTGGAACTGTGAGCGGCGCATTGTCCCCCGAATAACGTGCTTTAAAGCTTACAAAGAATTTTCTCCCTATTTCCAAGTTCTGGGGTTCCGGAGTCGGGAGAATGTAGGTGGTCCTGATGGCTCCTTAAAATTCCGCAGTTACTGCTGGCTACCATACTTGTCCAGCGCTGCCACGGGACAAGACGCCTCAAGGGATCTGGGGGACTCTTGGGCTTTGAGATGCCGCTTTCGGACAATGCCTGTCAAACAGGGGGCTGAAATTACCCGGGCAGCTTGTTTGAAATGCAGATTCCCGGGACCTGTCCCAGAGCTTCAGTTCCAGAAGGTCTGGTTTGGGGCCCATAATCTGCATTTATAACAAGCACTGCTATGCTTCTTCCCCGACCCCAGGTGATTGTGAGGAAGGTAGTCCCTGGGCCACATTTTCAAAAACACTGTTTTGTTTTTTTGTTTTTGTTTTTGTTTTTTTTTTTTGAGACGGAGTCTCGCTCTGTCGCCCAGGCTGGAGTGCAGTGGCCGGATCTCAGCTCACTGCAAGCTCCGCCTCTCGGGTTCACGCCATTCTCCTGCCTCAGCCTCCCGAGTAGCTGGGACTACAGGCGCCCGCCACCTCGCTCAGCTAGTTTTTTGTATTTTTTTAGTAGAGACGGGGTTTCACCGTGTTAGCCAGGATGGTCTCGATCTCCTGACCTCGTGATCCGCCCGTCTCGGCCTCCCAAAGTGCTGGGATTACAGGCTTGAGCCACCGCGCCCGGCCAAAAACACTGTTTTAGAGAGAGAGAGACGAGTTGGAAGGTTGGAAGGGGCAGAAAAGTTCTATCTGATTTTCTGAATGAAAGGCAAAACCTGCTCCTTCTTCCACCCCTCCCTTCCTCTCTATTAGGATTCAAAAAGCAAAGTCCATGTCCAGTCTTCTGTTAAAGGAAAACTAGTTCCAGACCTGAGAAGGACAGGAAAACCGTTTTTTGGTTTTTTATTTTTTTGAGACAGCCTGTGTATGTACAAAATCCCTCCCATCGCCCACAGTCCTCAGTTCATAACTCTGAGGTGATGTCATTCACTTACTGGTTTATTTTCCATGCTTAACAACCAACACTTGTTCCTTGTACACCCTGTTGGAGGAACTGATGGCTTTCCTGTGGTTGGCCAGTGTTTTCAAATCTGTATTTGGAGGGGGGTGTGTGTGTGTGCTCGCGCATGTGTTTTAATTTACTTAACTGCTCATTCAAATAAGCCCTGCCCTTGCCTGAATCATTGCAGAATATGCAATATAAGGAAATAGGATAAAAACCGGGAATGACATTAAGTACTGAGTCAAAGACAGATTGGCCAAGCTCTGCCTTTTTTCAAGCCCTCTGAGTTTATTTTCTTACTCTGTGTGTAGCTTTCTCTTACTCTTTCTGTTTGATTTTGTATCGTGTTTCTCAAGGAAAATAGAGAGAGGGGAGAGAAAGAAGGATTAAGGGAGGCTGTAACTAAGGTAAATTATGATTGCTGTCTCACTTGAGGGATTTGCTATTCTTGGGTTTGGAATCAGTACTCTGTATTTTATTTAGCTTGAAGATTCTTTTCCTCCTTGGGTGACCTATACCAAAAAGGATAGTGAAGGTACCTTTGTGATCTTTTAAACTTTTCTTTGTCCTTCCACTTAATCTCAAGTGAGTGGCATGTTTCCCTCTGTTGGACTGCCTTTCTCCATGTTCTGCCTATTTATTCCTTAAGGTCTAGTTCATAGCTAGAATCCTTTGCTTCCTCTGCTGCTTCCATTGTTTTTATTCATGGGCCATAATCATACTTATCACATTAGATTAATTTATCAAGATGTTTTTCTCTTCTAATAACAATAATCTTTGGGCGCTGTGGTTTACGCCTGTAATCCCAGCACTTTGGGAGGCCAAGGTGGGAGGATCACTTGAGCCCAGGAGTTCAAGACCAGCCTGGGCAACATGGTGAGACCCAGTCTCAACAAAAAATACAAGAATTAGCCAGACATAGTGGTGCCCTGTTTCAAAAACAAACCCACCAATAACTCTATTGTCCAGGCTGGAGTGCAGTGGCACCATCATGGTTCACTGCAGCCTAGAAGTCCTGGGCTCAGGTGATCCTCCCACCTCAGCCCTGCCCCGAGTAGCTGGGACTACAGGTGTGCACTGTCACTCCAGGCTAATTTTTGCATTTTTTGTCGAGACAGGGTCTCAACATGTTGCCCAGGCTGGTCTCAAACTCCTGGGCTTAAGTGAGCCAGCGTCCAGAAATGCTGGGATTATAGGCATGAGCCACCATGCAGGCCTTTATCTCTGCATTTCTTAAGAGTAGGGGTCTGCTAGTCCAGTGCCTGGCATAAAGGAGGTATTGATGAATGAATAAATGAGTGAATGATGAATCCTGGTTGGTTCTATTACCTAACCTCTGAGAGAGTAACCAACAAGGATGACACAGGTCCAGTTCTTGGAGAACTCAGTCTAATTAGGGATAAGAAAAGGAGTTAAGTTTAAAGCCAAAGAAGGCTCTGGATGTCTCAGCTGGAAGGCACTGAGGGAAGTTCCATTAGTAGACTTGAGGAGGAAGAGGACAGGAAGATGGCTACAGAGGAAAAAGAAGTAATGCCTCGAGGCCGGGCGCGGTGGCTCAAGCCTGTAATCCCAGCACTTTGGGAGGCCGAGACGGGCGGATCACAAGGTCAGGAGATCGAGACCATCCTGGCGA